CGTCACCCCCCCCCCCATCTATCATAAAAAAAAAGTTTAAAAACAAAAACTAGCACTATAAAAAGTGGTAGAATACGCTCCTTCCAAATCTTAAAACTTTAAATTTAATGCTGCTTTTAAATGCTCTAAATGCTAAAAAAAAAAAAAGAAAAGAAAAGAGAATGTATACATATGTATAATAAATAAGAAACTTACATAATGCGATTGTTTATGTGAACTAATAATAACGCTAAATTTAAAAAACGACAATAACATAAAAAATTATGTTTTAATTTATAACTTATTTTATGACTTTTAGTAAATGATTAAAAACAGTTCAGATCACCTTTAAGCAAGAAAACTAAGTTATATATATAATATAGAGAAGAAAAATATGTTAAATTAAGGCTTCTGATACTTTGTTAGATATTTTTTAGAGTAATTTATATGACCACCCGTTTGGTTAATTTATCTTAACCGCCCTTGTAGCGTAGTTTGTTAAGCTGTATAACAATGTTTGCTGCAATACAATTCCTGCCAAACAGTTTCCCTTTTAATGTTTCCAATACTTTAAGTGAAGACTTATGCAAGCAGAGGTCATTGTATCCAATGGGTGAAGATGGAAGTTTAGTAACTGTTTAACGATTACTGCCACTAAGTATTTAACTTAGTGATAGTTGCATGGTTTGCTGCCACTCGGTCACTCATCTTATATTACTTATATTAACAATAATTACTATATTTTATATTACTATACACTCATCTTAATATTACTTATATAAGCAATAATTGTACTTCGTACTTCAATATATTGTTGCTCGTAAAAATTACTATACATCTTAGCAAGGTGATCTACAGACTGTGTAATATAACTCTGATAATCATTAGCTGTACCCCAAGCAAGTTGGTCACTAGCCACAACCATGCATCGTGTTTTGGTTGTAAAGTGCACAGCATTTATATGACCACCCGTTTGTGTAGTAGCATCAAAGCTCGAGGTCATATTTTTTGTTGCAATAGCTATTTCAGCAGTCTGCAGGTCTGAACTCCAAGATAGAAATACCTAGGGTGCTTGGGGAAACCCAAAACCAATGTGCGCTACACCTGATTAATATAAAAATTGTACCAATATTAGACAAATAAATGATCTGCAATACCTTAAAGTTTCATAAAGTACCTGCCATAATTTACAGAGCTGTGATTCATAGAAAAAATGTGCCAACTTATGATGAAAAAATATATATGCTTTTTTTTGTAAAGTAGTGTAAAAATGTATCCAAATTTAGACAAACCTTTTTCCTAACTACAAAAATCGGGTCACAGATTTTAGCTTGCGTTTTTACGGCAAATTACGAATTTACGCACGTACCTACTGGTAGATTTATTTTATTGCATTGAGCACAATAGTCATCTAATGAGCTATTGTGAAAATTTATTGAAATTTAATCATTTTATTTCATTGTATCATTAAAGATTTTTAATTTAAACTAAAAATTATCCTTAGAATATGCTCATGCATCATATCTAACTAACATTTTAATTTAATGTTATTTGTTATATAAAAAATGTAAATAAATAAAATAAAAAAATAAATAAATAAAATTTAGATTCGAAATGGTACTTCTATCTTTCCGTTAATTTTTACTCATACTAAATGGGTAAAAGATAAATATTTTTACAATATTCTTTTTAGCGATTTTATTTCCTCCATAAGCCAGCTGGAAAATAGAATTGTAATTATAGTTAGGGGTGTTTCAAAAATAATTACAGTTGAAGTAGTATACTTCTCAGACTCTCTTTCTGCAAATGTAATTAGAGGTTTTAAAGAAGGTTTAAGTGAAAAGACATTGCGCAGAAGTTGTAACTCAACCAGACAACAAATGAAAGATTTTTCTAACCATGAAGAATGTAGTATTTGTAACGCTCCTGAACATATGATATGTTTGACTGAGCTAAACTCTGGTTTAAGCAAAGCTGATATATCAAAATGGTCTAAATACTATGGCATTGTTTCATTTCAACCCTGACCCTAACCCAGTACAAACTGCCCATTTGTCCCCCCCTCTTGGCGACACTGGACACAACACAATAAATACATTTTGCAACAATAAATCACTAATAATGCTTTTAAAAAGAAATGAACATTTTCTAACATGATTCTTTTATACATAAGACATTGTAAAACTTGGAGCATTTGATTACAAATTATGTACGACAACAAGGACATTTATAAGACTAGTATGTTTTTTATGTGCTAAAGCTAACTTGATGCATAGAAAATTTTTCTACACCTAATTATAAACAATGTCTTGTTACTTATTGCTTGTAATAAGGCCTGGTTTTAAATATGCCAACATGAAACACCTTAAAGTTTAAATTTTAAAAACCATTTGAACAATTGCCCACAGGGATTCAGCTAATGATCACACATTTTGCTATAATATTTTACTGTGTTAATATTTTTTTTAGATTTCCACAGTTCCTTTTGATTCAGAAGAAGTTGCTCGCCTGAGAACTTTTTTGAGTACATCTTCTTTAAACTTTTTAAACAATGTCTTGACAAATGACATATCGAAAAAGGAGCTGAAAAATAATATTCTTCAGTATTGCCAAGTTGTTCTTCCTTCCGACAATGACCCATGGGTTCGGAGAGAGTTTTTTTCTAAACTTAAGTCAACGCTTTTTTTTAATTTTCCTAACTGCTTGGAACACTGGGTAAGTATTGTTTTAAAAATTAATTAAATTTTCATGACCTTACAATACTTTTTTAAATATGTTTTATAATACATGCATGTTTTGTTGTGGTTGTATTGAATAGGTATTTGTTTGTGTACCCTTAAGAGTATATAAATACCTATTCCATAGTTTTGAAAAAAAAATTCTTCTAGGATTCACTCCTAAGACAGGTTTCAAACATAATTAGGCAACGTTGGACTTAGAGTTGCAAAAAAACGCGTTTTTTTCCTTTGGCGTTTTTTTGGGTCAAAAAAACGTGCTTTTTTGTTTGTTTTTTTTTGGTGTTGTATTGCTTTTTTTTAACAATTTTTCAGTTTTTTTTTGACATAAATTTTGGACTAGTTTTCCTTTACTCTAGTATAATTTTAGTATTTGGCCATTAAAGGCACAATTAGATGTATAAACACCAATTTAACATAAATTTTTTATAAAAAATTTAAATTAGCTTTATTATTTTTTATTATCTTTTATTATCTTATTAGCTTTATTATCTTTATTAGCCTTATATATCTAGGCATACTGTGTGAAAATGTTTATTTTTTATTTTGTTGTACTAACAACTGTGATACTCTCATTATATATAAAAACTATTCTTATTCTATAAAAAAGTTACCATTTTAATTTTGATAATGTAAATACATTAATGTATAATACCATGTAAATTTAATATCAGACTTCGAATGCTTAAAAAAATAAGCAATCCATCAAGATTATTAACTTAATTAAGTATTTGTATATTATGTAGTAATTAGGTCTTACATTGTTTGTTATATCAAAAAAATGAATATTGCTAGTATGCCCATATTAAAAAAAAGCCCTATACTGAACTTAATTTCAAGGATAATTTAAAATTTTTCTAATTATTATTATTTACGGAGTTTCCCAGACCCCATTCACCTGATGATTCGTAATTTATTTATTTTTAAATAATTTTTTAACAGCATTTTTTTTTCTAATTACATTATTTATTCATCTAGATATTTTCATATATCAGAACACTTGCAAAATTCTTTAATATGCTCTGTTTTTTAAGTTCAATTTTTAGACATAATCTTATGGCAAAAGGATTGTTTATCTTTTTCCATTTTACTAATTTGGTTCAGAGGTTTAAATAAATGGGTGACTAAAGCTTTATTTCTGCCCCCTGTATGGAGAGCCTAATCATAATTCTTTTTGTTCTTCCTGTTGATTACCAACAAGAAAAAAAAACTCAATAATTTAAAGATATCCTTTCCCTTTATATATATATATATATATATATATATATATATATATATATATATATATATATATATATATATATATATATATATATATATATATATATATATATATATATATATATATATATATATATATATATATATATATATATATATATATATATATATATGTATGTATATATAGATATTATGGTGCTTTAAAAATTACTACTCAGTGTTGTTAATGTGGTGTGGTTATTTTTTGTGTTAATCTATTTTTAGATTCTAATTCAGAAAAGATTTATATAAAATTTCTCTTTATTTGAGTAATAAGTTGACTTTTTTAATGTAAACATTTTAGAGACCATTTAAACAATATTAGGGACCTGTTGAATAGAAAATGAGCTTAAGTATGAACTAAATATTGAACAATTAAACTTAAATTAGACTTGATCAAATTGTGTATCTGGGATTATTAAATCATTTCTTTCTAACTGCTTTATTATAATCATCGTAAAGGCCTACTTATTTATTTCCAGTAACTTCTGGGGTATCTCAAGGTTCTATTCTTGGTCCTGTTTTGTTTCTTATCTACATTATTGATCTTCCCGACAACCCTACATCTATAGTAGCTCTTTTTGCTGAAGACTCAAGTTTTTACTCCTGTCTTGACAAAAAGTCTTCTCTTTTTGATCGCTTAGAATAGGCAGCCAATTTTGTATCTGATCTTACTTCTGTAACAGATTGGGGCTCACATATTTTAGCTTATAAATTTTATTTCTAACAAAACTCAGTTATTTACTGCAAAACTACCACAATACTGTCGACATTCCTATATTAATTAATGGTAACCCTCTTACTGAGTCCACTTTTTTACATCTTCTTGGAATATTATTTGCTACTAACCTTTCATTTACACAAAATATACAATTGATTGCTAAATTAGCATCTCTTTCTTACCCTTGATTCCATTCTCTACCTCTACAAATATCTTTTTGTCCCTGTATAGAATGTTGTTGTCATATTTGGGCTGGTTCTTCTTATGATGCCCTTTTTCTTCTAAACAAGCTCTATCTGCTAAGCTTGAGCCTCTTTCCCATTGTCGTAAAGTTGCATCTCTTTCTCTTTTCTACAAATTCTATCATGGTGGCTGCTCAAAAGAGTTTTTATCTCTAGTTCCATTAATAAAAACTCATTCTCGCTTGACTCTTTATTATGCTAAGTCTCATTCATTAGTTATTAAATTTTATTAAATATAATAAATGTAAATAAATAATGTTTATTGAGTCAATATACTAAAAACAATAAAGATAAAATTGAGGAAGATAAAATTATCAAAGAAGTTTTTATACAGGACTGCTTCAACCGTGTTAACCTGTTAACCGTGTTAATATACCAAAACAAAAATTAATTCAGTAAATTTCAGTATTTATTGTCCTATTTAAATCAAAAATTAAATAAGAATTAAGATATTGCCATTAAAGTTAAATTTAGTAACTTAAACAATGAATTTTTGAATATTTCCCAAAAAAAACCAAAAAAATGGACCCCTATGTTTTTTTTCCAAAAAAACGACCAAAAAAACCAAAAAAACAAGAACCAAAAAAACGCGTCACATCTCTAGTTGGACTAAAAGTCATTGGACTTCAAATGGAACAGCAATTAGACAATTTCAACAGGTTTCAAAACCTACAAAGTCTCCATATATTATGGATTTAATATCTAAAGCTGAACCAGTGCTTCCAGAAGAGCAGCTTCTTCTTGAAGTTGAGGTTATATTTTTAGTTTATTTATTATTTTAATTTGGACAGCAATATGATTAGCAATATTTTAAATAAGTAAGTGATTGGAGTTGATATTTGACCGGGGCCAGGTTTGATAAAACATAGCCAGAGCTGCATTTATATTGATAAATCCTATAAGTATATTATTTTTAGGTAAAATTTATGTTGAGCTCCAAAAAACTTCAGGGACGAAGGAGGGAGCAGGAGCTTGGAGAGGACATTTGAGCTTGAAAAAGATCTCTCCTCTAATACAGCTTAAGGACTCTCAGTGGCTGGTAATGGCTAGTAACCCCTGTAAATTTTGTTTGTTTAGTTGAGGCAGGGTTTGTAAAAAGCTCTATTTTTAGCAGAGGCCCGGTCACTTACTACTTCAAATATTTTACTAATTATTATACCCTTTTTTTTTTACTAATTTTTTTTTCTACAATCAAAAATACATTACAAATAAAGTTGTTTTATGTATAATATATAAAGAAATTTTATAAAGTGTGTTATACAAACCTTAGCACCATGCATCATAGCATGTTATTTTATACAATTTTATAATAAATAATTTTTAGTTGGCCAATTGATTATGTGCACCATTATTGTTTTAGAATTTACGGTATTTTAATTTTTATATTTTATAGAATGAACAACTAAAATCAAAACCATCTATCAATATTCTTGCGATTTTGAATAGAAATCTTTTTCAACCGAAAATATATGTTTAATATTTGCGGAGTTTAAACGCCTTTACCCACACTATAGTTTTATAGAAGAATCATGTTCATTTTTTATTACTAAAGCTTTTGCAGGATCTTCTAATCACCTTGAAAGTTTGCTTGTTTTACAATGTAAATTAGGTTCCAAAAAAGCAAAGGATTTGTTGTTTAAGAAATCTGAAGTAAGTAAAATGAAATATTTTATGGTTTTATTCAATTCTTTTTAATGATTTCATATAATGAAGTTATAAAAATGTCTACTTTTTTTTGCATTTATATATCTAGCTAGTCTAGAATTTTATTTGTTTATTACTAATATTTATTGATGATGTACATTTCAGTATAAACTTAGGATAAACACATTTATAATAAGGGGTCGTCCATAAAGTATGTATGCCAAAAATTTTGAAGTTTGACCCTCCCCCTGTTGCCATGCACACTTTTAAGATCGTCTCCCCCTAAATAGTACATATGTTTTTGAAGTAACCCCCCCCCCTACTAAAAATTAAAAATAGTAATTGGAGTGAGATTTGTTTAAAGTATGATATAAAATTAGGTTTGACAATAAATCTAAGGATACTTTGAGGTGCCAAATAAATATATCTGCTTGTTTATTTATAATGTAATTTAATGTAATATTATGCTATTATCTACACAGGCGGATCCGTAGGGTGGGGGCGATGGGGCAATCATCCTTCATAGTTAGTTAAGCTGTCTAGATAAAATTTCAATTTTAATATTATGTTGTGTAAATTGTGTGATTGCTAGGGTAAAAATCATTAAACCTGGAAATCGCTCTCCCTCTCATTACTAGATGGTCCGGATTCACCATATAATAAGAAATTAAATTCGTTCTCCCCCCTCGAACTACATATTTTGGATCTGCCCTTGATTACATACAGCTATTATACATTATACAGCTATGTATATTATACAGCTATTATATGTAATATTAGCGCAATATTATATACAGCTAGTCCTGTAAAATTCAAGAGTGATTAGCCCAAACAGGGGCGCAAAAAGATTCCAGAACCTTAGTTTTAGAACCCCAGCTTATGGGGTTCTATAACCCCAATGTTTTCAAAACCCCATTTTGCAATAGGGGTTCCAGAACCAGTTCTCTGGAACCCCTTACAGTCATAGTTCCAGAACCCCCGGGGTTCTAGAATTATAGTCAGAGTTCCAGAACCCCCCGGGGTTCTAGAACCCTGAATAAAGGTCGGAGTTCTAATCCCTGCTTTAAAACTATTTGGAAGAAACTTCAATTAAATTAAATTTCCGGTAGTTTTTATAGTTAAAATTTGATTTCTTTAAGTCTGACGATCTGGTCGATGAGTTGAAGATACCTGCAAAGTACGGTCCACAAGTTCTTTTCAACTCAACACAATATGGCGTTCACAGTAGATCAGGATGCGAAATGATTAGCACAGATTTACGGAAAATCAAAGAGGTTTTATGCGTTATTGTTAGCATTTACTATTTGTTAGATCTATCGTATCCATCTTCTTTTTCACAACTGATGGGCCTTTTCCAGGAGATGTTGCTAAATGAAAGCTTTGAAAAAAAATCAAAGAGGGTTTTTTCATATATTAAACAAATAACTTGATTTTTTGAATGCGATTACTAGTTATTAACTTTTTTATTTTATAAATTGTTTTATTTTATATTTTTAATTTGTTGTTATAACAACAATAAGTATACTTATTGTTGTTACTTATAATTTTATATTTAAGTTGTTACTTTAAAAAAAAAGTTGGGAAATAAAGCTTTCTTTGAAATAATAAAAATAATAAACTGATCTTGTAAAGTTTTGATAATGTATCTTTGGACATATATTTAAAAATATAAAAACTAATCCTTGGTTTAAGTAGTTACATAAATTACCAGATTTATTAGTAGATCATTGAAATGGTTTATGGTGTTTTATTTACAATTATATTAAAATGAATTTATTTCGTCATTATATATATTAAAAATATTTTATAGTATTTTATGCCTTGCTAGTAATAATAGCATTGAAAGATTGTTAAATACATCAGATAATTGGTATTAATTATATAATGTAGTGCACAAATGATTTAGGTTTTACTTGAATAAAAACAAAACATGTATATTTATAAACATATATATATATATATATATATATATATATATATATATATATATATATATATATATATATATATATATACAGCTAACAGCAATATATATATATATATATATATATATATATATATATATATATATATATATATATATATATATATATATATATATATATATATATACAGCTAACCAAGCTAACAGCATATTATGCTGTTAGCTTGGTTTTCGAATATAACACCAAATGTAACGCCATTGGATAACGATATAACAGCATTTTGCTGTTATTTTTGCTGTTATTTAAATAAATATAACAGCATTTTTAAAAAAAATAACAGGATAATAACACCCTAATGACACAAAATAACGCCATTCATGCTCTTATATCGTATCCCAATCAGGGCCGTATCTAGCATACAAAGACTGGGGGGGGGGTGCAGTCGTCAAATTAACCGACAAAAATTTTTCTTGTTTTGAAAAAAGGATTTTTTTCGGAAAAATTTTCAAAATCATAATTGCATTCTTAATTTACTACCTGTAACACGTTAAAAGAAATAAAATATATTTTTTCTGAAAAATTATATAAACTTTACAATGCAAATGAAATTTACAGTATTTCAAAAGCATATACAAACAACAACAAAGTTAACGTATAAAACGCAAAACTGCATAATCAATTATTCAATTTGAATACGTCTTTGTGTTGTTATAGACCATTTTTTTACCAACACGTCAAGATCTATATTGTCCACTAAATCTTTTTCTGACGCCAACAAAATTAATGACGCCAATCTTGCATCTGACATAGTAGAACGCAAAATATTTTTAACAATTTTTAATTTGCTAAATGTTCTTTCATCGCTTGCAACGGACACTGGTGCTGAAGCCATTAGCTTGAAAGCTTCGAAAACTCCTGGGAATATGTTTTGTCTTTGCCACGACAGTTTTAATTTTTCATTGTTTGTTGGAGCATCAGATTTAGTAAATGTGTTCATAAAAATTTCTAACTCTGCATGAAATAAATGAGCATCTGTATTTACTTCATTATTTGGCATTAATAGGCACAGTTTTTCGACATCTTTTATTGTAAAGGTTTTTGTTGACTGCTGAAGAAGAGAAAATGGTTTAATGCTCAACCATGAAGCCAGTAAATTTTCATTCATTTCGTAAATAAGACAGTCTAACACGCAATTAAGTTGTTGGGTGTAGTATTGATAGATATTTCTAGAACATAGCGTATCAGGATTGTCATCATAGCGTTTTGGAGTTACTCTTCGTCTATGACGATCTTCGTATATTTTTAACGCATCGATTTCATACTTGCTACATATTTTAATTGCTGCATCAATTTCACAATGTACTTCAAATTCTTCTTTTCTATTTCGTTCAAGAGATTGCATTGTAGACAATACAATCATTTTAGCATCTAAAATGTTCAACTCAACTTTCTGCAACTCATCAGTAAGAATCTTTGTTTTTGCAATGACTCCTTTGATAAGCATAAGCATAATGATAAAGTCTGGATTCACGATTTTTTTAAGTATTGCTAAAGCTTGATCATTTGTTTTCTTATCAAATAAATCGGACTGACTTATTTCATAAAAACATTCAACAATAGATTCCATACTTATCCAAAATGCTTGAATGGATTCTGAACGCGCTGACCATCTAGTTTTTGAAAGATTGCAAAGTTTCAAGGAATTTTCAATAAACTCAAGTTTAGAATTAAGTCAGCTGAATCGTTTAGTACTTGAAGAAATAAATACGTAGCACATTTCAAGAACTTCAAAGACATTTGAAGCCATTTTATTTCTTTTAACCGCATGTTCAACAAAAGTATTAGTTCGATGAGCTTGACATAGAATATAAGGTACAACTCGTTTTAACTTTTCTGAAATTTTTGCATGAACTCCTTTAATGTTGCTGGACATAAAGCTGGCGTAATCATATCCTTGAAACACAACACTATTGACATCAAGTTGAAGGTTATTGATTGTCGATATTATTAAATCTGCAATTTCATCACCCGTTTTGTCAGCTACCTCGCATATCTGCACAATTCTTTCTTTAATATTACAGTTATTATCCACATACCTTACAGCAATTGCTAACTTATCACTGTGTGACACATCAGGAGTTGTATCTGCCATAATTGAAAACATCGATGCTTGGTTAACTTCGGAAATAATTTTGCTTTGAACATCTTGTCCAAGCAAATGAATGAAGTCGTTTTGGGATTTAGCACTCATATATGTCACATGATATTTTCTAAGTTTTATGTTGCTCAACCATCGTTTAAGTACCAAATTATGTCTCGACATAAAATATACCAACTGTCTAAAATTTCCATTTTCATCCCGATCATCTCCACGAAACGCGATTCCTTGCCTACCCAATGTGCGAGCCAAATCAATAAGAACTTTTATAACACACTTATTAGACTCCATTTCTTCTTTTTCACTAATAACAATTTGTCTTTGTTTCTTGTCCAAGAGGAGATTAATATGTTGAGCACTATTACAATAATTGCAATAGTCTAATAATGAAGCTTTATGAGATTTTGATGAAAAATGTTCTGATAGTTTTCCTCTTTTACCTTTCTTTCCTCGACTCTTCATTTTATACCACGTGCGGATACCGTTTTCAACCCAAGCAACTTCACTATTCTCTCTACCTGGTCCATTTGGAAAGAGACAGCATACATAGCAGAATGCGCTATCTTTAAGTATGCTGTACTCTAAGTGAGGGTATTCTTTGTACCACAATGATGAAAAACGATTTTGCTTCCTTTTGTCAATATCTTTATTGATAGGAAAGTTATTAAGTTTTACTTGATGTGGTCCAAGCTCAATTAGATAGTTTCTTAGATTATCGTTTTCAATTTTCGAACGCTGGCCAGGATCATGCGAAAGAAAGAAACTTTTTGTAGTAAGTGTTTCAATATTATCATACTTTCTTTTGTTTAAAATGTTTGCAAGAGCTTGGTCATTGGCATCCAAAACATTCTCTGCTGAAATTTTTACCTCAGAAGCAAGCTCTGTCATTTCAATGAGAAGTTTTTCCAAATGTAAATTGTCTGTATTTTTCACTTCATCTAGTTTTAATTCGCACTCACTTAAAAGTTTACACAGCTTTGCAAATTTACCCACCGAATCTGAAAACGTAGTTTCTTTTTCCAATAAATTAACATCACTCGGTTGGGATTCTACTAACAGAGTTTGATCACAGAAATCAAAAATTTCAGGCACTGCTAGTATTTCATCATTAGTAATATCAATGTTTTTACTCTCATTTATTATCTCACATTCAATTTCAGATGATTCATTTTCAATTGCTTCAGAGATTTTTGTCAGATTTTCATTGATATTTATTTCCACTTCATTTGTAATGTTGCTTGGGCAAAGTTTTTGGGCATTGAAATTAATTTTAGACAAACTTATTTTGCTGCACGATTGGGAATTTATTGCCGAATTGGTTTCAAAAGGGTTTCGTGGTGCGCCATACTTCTCATAAGATATCCCTTTATGGTTTCGGATATAATCCAAATGATAAATTCGATTATGTGTCATCCGATAGTCATTATCAAAAATTGAACGTGAACAGTTCTTGACTTTGCATTTGACTTTGTATCTTTTAACACCAGGATGTGGCATCTTGAACCCAAAATCTAAGATAATTACAAATTAAACTAACAAAATATTCGCCTTAAAAAAATATATAAATGATTTAATAAATTTTAAACTTTTTAAAATTTTATTAGTAAATACGTAACTTACAAGTATAAACAAAATAGTTTATTACTTCTTTCGCCAAACTTCCAATACTAGTACCAAATTTCTAATAATAAAAACACACCGCTAACTAAACTTTGATTTCTTCTGTGCAAACATCAAGTAAACAAGTCTCTTGATTAAGATTCTTGCTTTAAAGTAATTAGAAATTGTTGACTAATTACGTAACGCAATTTTTGAGAATAAAAAACGGCAACCAAAAACATGCTTAGCTGAGTTTTATTTGTTATACGCGTTAAATTCCTAAAAAGAATTAGTTTTTTATGCTTTAAAAATTAGCGTTAAGGATGATATAAAAACATTTTTGCAATACAGAAACAACAAGAAAATAATAATTTTAATATTTTGTCGGTTAAATAGTATAATGGTAAAGTTGTTGGTAAGATTACAATTTATTGTAATCTTACCGACAATTTACCATTGTACTGTTTAACCGACAAAATATTAAATATCTGGGGGGGGGGGGGGGTGGACACCCCCCTATCGGTACGGCCCTGATCCCAATGCTGTTATATTTTTGTAAAATATAACAGCATAATTTTTTAGTGTGTATTAAATGCAAATAAATACGCTAGTGCCAGACCACTACTAAGAGAAATTGGAGTGCCTAATGTCTATGAAATAAATATTCTTAATATACTTATTTTTATGTTTAAGTTTAGAAATGGTATGCTACCAAGCATTTTCCAAACTTACTTTTTTTTTTTAAGCTACAAACGAAACTAAATACTCAAGAAATAGTTTTATTATACCAAAAATATTATCAAAACAAGCTAATTTTTCGATATCTTGTCGAGGGCCGCGGTTATGGAACTTGCTTTAACAAGTAATGTAAAAACTTTAAATTCAACTCCAAAAAAAACAAAAAACCACTTATTTGATTTTGATACAAAGCAATTCGCGATGTTAGAATTATCTTGTTCTATATCCACTTTCTGAAAAAATTGAGTTAATGATACTTTAGTGTTCCTCAAAATAATGTCTTTCTACTGAATAGAAATCTAAGTTATAAGTAAAAAAGTAGCGGAAAAAACAAGTCATAAAAGAAAATTTATACGCCGTCTCGTAAAGTTTATGTTTTTTAAATCGGTTTATCTCAAAACTAAAAAATGTGGAGATAAAACAAGATAATTCTAACGTCGCGAATTACTATCCTATTATTAAAAACTATTGATAATCTTAGTTATTTAATGTCTTATAAATTGGTGCAACATCTTAATTATATTGTATGGTACTTAGAACATGCATAACATTATTTTATTTTACAATAATAACGCAATTTGTAAATGCAATATTTATTATATCTTACGCAAGTTGTAGATGGAATATATAACAGATTTATTTGATTTTGTATGTGTATATGAACGGACATATATTTGCGTGTATGTGTGCGCGTGCGTGTATAATAAAAATTAAAGTAGAATAAAATAGAGAATTAAAAAAATGATAACAATAAGAAGAAATAATTATTATTTTTTCTTTTTTCTGTAAATAGTAAATTGATTTTTAAATCAGTTTTTTTTCCTTTTTCATTTTTATCGGCTGAATTTTTTAGTTATATTAACGGGGCTGGATTAGATTAGATTAGGTTAGATTAAAATTTATTAGAACAGTGATACATGTTCTAAAGGACACGCAGGTCCATAAAATATGAAGGACTCTGACAACGTGCCCTACAATCACATAATACAAATGCTAGATAATTTAAAATATATATTACAATTATATATAAGACCATAGTTATAAAGCAAAAACCAGTTAGCCGGAACAGTATTTTTCAAAGTCAATAGAGAAAATTTTAATTTTGAAGCTTTTTATATTTTTGGCATTCACGATGTCAGACGGCAAGTTATTCCAAATATTAACAACCCTGAGAGAGAAAGAGTGTTTACGGACATCGAGTTTACATTTTAGTTTGCGTAATTTAAAACTATGTCCTCGAGTGTAAATATAGTTGTTAAATAAAAAGAAACTTGATTTATTTAGGCAAACTAAATTGTTCAGAATTTTGTAACATGTAATCATGTCTTGCTTAAGGCGACGAATTTCTAGTAGTTCCAAACCAAGAATACAAAGTCTACTTGAATATGAAACATTATTTAGGTTAGAAATTCTCTTTGTAAAACGTCTTTGTACTCTTTCCACTGTATTGTTCATTTTAGTGCGATTTGGCGACCAAACCGGAGAGCAATATTCTAAGATCGGTCTTATATAAGTAGTGTAGGCTTTAACGATAACACGTGGATCACGACTTTTAAAACACTTAAGGATTAGATATCCTCGAATGTTTGATGCACGGATGATATTTGAAATATGATTACTGTAATTTAAGTAAGAATCCATGGTCACACCAAGATCTTTTGGGTTTGTAGACCAAGTTAAATTATGATTGCCTAATTGATAGTTGTAATTTATATCTTTACAAAATGAAGTAGGTGCTACTCTATGAGTAAAGCACTTATTATTGGCTATTTTTAATTGCCATTTTTTTGACCAGAGATAAACTTTATAAATGGATACAGCAAGATCGTGACTATAATCGGCATCTTTAATGAACTATATAACTTGATATCGTCAGCATATAACATTAGAGAGCAATTAAGATCTTTTACTATAGAGGGTAAACCATTAATAAATAACAAGAATAACGCTGGACCCAAAACGCTACCCTGTGGAACTCCACTAAGGATGCAGGTTGGATTAGGTAGTGAATTTCCAACCAGAACTCTTTGATATCTGTTAGAAAGAAATGCTGATATCCAATGAAGCAGATTATCTATTATGCCGTACATTGCAAGTTTCTTCAGAAGTTTTGGATGAGGTACAGAGTCAAATGCTTTTTGAAAGTCAATGTATACCACGTCAGTAATTAAATTGCTGTCTAAAGCTTTATTCCAGTCATTAGTTGACTCTAGAAGATTTGTGCACGTAGATCTTTTGGATAAAAAGCCGTGTTGATTAGGTGTTATTAGATTATTTATATTAAGATAATCAGCGATACTTGAACTAACAATACTTTCCATGACACGACAGCTAGTACATGTGAGAGAGATAGGTCTATAATTGTTAGCATCTGAAGTAGATCCTTTTTTAAAAATAGGGGAAACCGTAACTTGAAGCCACTGTTTTGGTAACGAGCTTGACGTAAAACTTGATTTAAATATATATGAAAGCGGAATACATATTATATGTGCTAACTGTTTTAAAAGTATATTTGGTATACCGTCTGGTCCAAATGATGTGCTAGGTTTTAGATTTTTAAGTTTTTGATAAACTATCTTTGCTGAAAAATCTACGAAATTCATCTTAATATGGATGATAAGACCATTTCTTCTGCCAGCTCCGGTCGAAACTTTAATGTTTTATTTTTATGTTGTGAAAACATTGTAAAAGATTATTTTTAAATGACGAAAAAAAAATCTATATATATATTTTTATTAATTTATATTTTATTTATAATTAAATTATAAGTTTTTATTAATTTATAGTATAAGTTTTTAATTATTTTTCCAGACCAGATAAAATTAAATATTCCAAAAATTGAGGAAATATGCAAAAAAGTTGAGAAAGTTATCGTTATAAGTTAGTTATAAAGATTTAGGGTTTTTTCCCCCCTGAAAACCCGCACTTAAAAAAGCGAATTTATAAAAATTTGAAATAAACTTTTTTTTATTAACTAATGCTAACTTGTTTAGATTAAAAAAATATTTAAATATTAATATTGATTTTTTTTCTTGAAAAGTCAGAAAAACTCTATTTCCGCTAAGCGACGCGTAGCGCATGGTTAAACTTATTGTAGTCCAAGAGAATATATATATTCTTAAACAGCTAGTTCATAGAGCAGTGGGAATTCACAATCTTCTATTATGTCCTCTGAATATACAATTAACGTTCCTATTGCCGTTTTAAGGCTCTTAACGCATATACACTATTATTTCTTTTTATTACTTTTAAATATTTGTATAAACAATGTAAATATGTAAAATTAAAAAAAAAAAAAAAATTAACTTAGTCAATTTCAATTCATTTTTATACGTCGCATTTCTTTATACAAAAACATTCGATTAGTTTCTCCATTTTTTGAATAATCAAAATCTCAAGTTCACGTTCCGGTTTGTTACTTCTAAATCAGGGTAAAAATGAGAAAAGGAGACCGTGTTATTACAGCGGCGTTCTATAACACGTCCGCGTCTCAGTTTGTAAACCAGCCTAATCGATAAGTGAGCGTAATCGCCACCTCAATTTTTGCGTACATTGTTGGACCCTCCCATTCGGTACTACGCAATATACATATGGCCCATAAGTGAATTTTTTATAATTTTATTTCATACTATCATAACTAATAATTTGAAATTATAAAAACACTATTTCAGCACAACGCGGGAGTGGGACAGTGGTAAAGCGCTCGCTTTATAAGCGAGAGGTTCCGAGTTCGATCCTCACCACGTTCCACCGCGCTTAACTTAAACCCCCCCCCCCCATATTTTCAGCTCTGATATTCGTTAAGCACTCTTGGCGAAGGTATACAGAAAAATAAAATTTAGTTGAAATACTAACTTTAATCTATTTTAAACAGTTAAATTGAGCTTTAATGGTGAATTAAAAAAGCGGCATTAGTAAAAACAAAAACAAAAACAAAAAAAAACTGCTGCTACCATGTCAGTAAAATTGTTTTAAGTTCAAATTAGTCACAAAATTTGAACAAAAGCGAAAACAAGTTTAACATCAAAAACGAGTAAATAAAAGCAGACTACAACAGTTTATCGGAGCCGCATATTTATATCTTTCATAAAATGCAAGCGATTATCCATCAAGCATGTTTATATTATAATTTTAGTAATTTATGAAGATTAACGCTAAATATCGTTGTATTGGCTGTTTAAAACACAATAAAAAACCTCTTCGCAATAATTGAGACCCGATACCACCTTTGTATGAAACATTAGGACACCAGCAGTTAGTTCTGTTAAAAGTTATAACTGTCTAAAGCAGATTCAAGTTTATCTACCATAAGGATGGTATCCTCGTTGAGAAGAAATGGCAGCAACGTCACCAGCCGAAATAGAGGTCGATGAAGAATAAACAACATGCGGATCGACGGCGTTACCGGCCATGGGTTGATGTGTACCAGCTAAAATGTGAGATCGTGCAGGACCGAATTGAGAGGTTTCACTGGAATAAACACCACCAATTGCAGCTGGAAAATTTTTGTTTGTTATTAAACTTTTGAATATTAAAATAACTTTTCGTTTACTCACCAACTCATCCTGATGTTAACTACATTCAAAATAATTTCTTGTTTACTCACCGACTTGTCCTGATGTCAAGCTAGACAGCATATCAGCTGTTATTGTACCGGGCCTTTGAAACTGTGCTCCTGTACTTAGATAGGTTATACCCGGTTGAGCAAATTGCTGACTAACCAAAGTACCACCAGCTGTTCCTTAATAAAGAAAATAAAAAACAAACAAACGTATAAGTTAAGAATTATGTAAGTTAAGATTTATGTAAGATTATGTATTAATTGGAAACAGCAAAATTATGAAAAATGCCCATTGTTACGTCACAATAATACCAGCCAAATGTTTAAAAAATAAAACTTTAATAATAAGTCTCTCGATGATCAAGGAACATGATCATTGAAAGCCTTTTTGTAATAGTTGTAGAAAAACTATAAGTGATAGCAGGACAATATAATTTAATATTATAAACTCAATTAAATTGGTTGTTCAATAAAAATTAAAAGAATTACATAGCAAATTAACAGCTTCTTAGGTACATTTTAGTGTTGCAATTAAAATATAAAATACTTAAAACTACATTTTTAAACTACCTGTAATAATAGGAGTCGCTGGGATCTGATAGTAAGTATTTGTCGAAGGGTCAAAAACATATCCTCCAGCTGTTTGTGTTTGTGGCATTTGCACTAAAGGGAAAATTTATCAGCACTAACTTGTAAATATTTTAAATCCTCATTTATCTTGAGGAAAAATAAAAATGTATTACCAGCTGTATATTGAGTAATTCCACCAATATTCTGAGGCACTAAAACCTGTTGTTGAGGCAATGAAAAAGCACCAAATCCTGAAACAGTGCCAATTGCTGTCTGTTGCTGAACTCCAATGCCCCGCCCACGACCAAAAGAAGACATTGCTATAAAACAAACTCAAATAAATTCATCAAAAATATAATACAAATGTAGAAATACCTTTTTTTTCACCAAAAAATAATTAAAAAAAATAAAAATAATTAAAAAGTTTTTGAGGAAGTTTTCACTCCTCACCCTCACGTCTCTTATTGAAATGTTGCGCCTGTTCATCTGCCCCCTTTACTTCTACCTAAAACATAAAATAAATTTTTAATAAGATTTAATTCTGATTGTAATAATGTTCCTAAGTGTAACAACATTTGAACAAAAAGTAAATCAATCCTTTAAATTTAAAGAAATGAAATAGAAAAGATTTTTATTAATAAAAAAAAAAAAAAAAAAAAAAAAATAAGAATCCTAATGCAACATCTTTCTAGGGCAATATATGACATTAACAATATCAAGCAGAAAATATTTTAAATTACGAACAAATCTATATACCAAATCTGTTAAAAAAAGCTAAAATTCTGCATTCAAAATTCATTATAATAATATATTTTCAAATATCCAATGTTTAAAATTTTAACAACAACCAAAATAAAAATATATGATTCAATTATTGACTATTTAGTGTCATTCAAATAATATAATATAAGCCATAGAAAACATTCTGCATCATAGTTCATACAATATATGTATATAATAAATATTTAGTATATATTATATAATAATCTCCATAACCTACACAATAAAACAGTAATACAAACTATTTGGTGCACACCGTTTTGCCATTGATTTGGTGATATCTGTCTTGAGTTACAGCATGCACTGACTCCGAATTTTCAAAACCAACAAAAGCAAATCCTGTTGCACAAATCATCAATATAAAAAATAAACACAACTAAATAATAAAAAATAAATAAACCATGTTTTCTGAAAATAAAAATTCTATTTTTTAAAGTTGCAACAATCTCTTGATCGGATTTCGAATGCTTTTATTCCCAAATTTTCCTTTGATACTGTTAACATTTTTCTGTGGACTGTCCAAGTAACCCCACTGTACTAATTTGATGTGCATATAACGTTTATCAAAAACTTTATTCAAGTAACAAAAAAATAAACACTCATAATAAACATATACATATATTACACTCCTTTTCAGCATAAAATAAATTACTCAATCATTTGAATTATGAAGATTAAATTAAATTATAACATATACTTAAAAAAAAAACACTAATTATAAGATGCAGCCATGTAAAATATTTCTCTAAGTTAGCTCCTGTTGTTAAAAAACACTTAATTTTCAGAACTGCAAATTAATTTTACATTATAGTAAACAATAGTTTGATGAATTTTAAGTTAAACTATGAAACTTATATTACCTTTAGGGCATTTATATATATGGTGGTATGGCATGTCAACTTGTACAACCTAAAAAGATAAGACTCTGCTTTTTAAGATATAAATGTTCAACTATAAGACAAGCATCTTCAAAATTAGGACAAGCATCTTCAAAATTAAGACAAGCATCTTCAAAATTAGGACAAACATGATTGTAAATGGTATAACAAACCTTTCCAAATGTACTGAAATATTTTCGAACATCATCTTCTGTTGTTCCAATTCCAATGCCACCAACAAATACTTTTAGCTCAGGGTTTACTTTCATTGGCCCTTTGTACTGAAACTTAAAAATACAATTTCTTAGCTCTTTCATGAAACATTTATCAACAGAAAGCATATACGTTGGCAGTATTATATACAAACATTTATAACTAAATAATTCACCATTTTAATCAAAAAATGATTGTTAATAATACTACTTTAACTACTTAAAAAAAAGTGATGATAAAAAATAAAACTCTGACAGAATACCTGGGAATTACTACCATTAGCACCAACACCATTACTAGCTGCAACTGCTGCTTTCTCTGCATCATACTAAATTATTATTTTAAAACTTATAATATATAACATTTTTACCTATAACTACACGTATAAAAATAAAATTCTACCTCAGCTTTTGGGAAGTATTTGCGTACTTGCAATGGCTAAAATTTTAAAGAAAAATGAAAATTTTTACATATACACATATTATATATATATATATATATATATATATATATATATATATATATATATATATATATATATATATATATATATATATATATATATATATATATATATATATATATATATATATATATATATATATATATATATACACACACACACACACATTTTTACATAACAAAAACATGGTGTTGGCATTCTTTAATACTCCCTTTTAAATTACTCAATTGTTTTTAAAGTTAATATTTCAAACCCATTTTTAATTATATTTTTTCTCCACCCCATACATGTTAAAAAATTATCATTAAAATAGTGGCTTAATTAAGATTTAAGATTTCAGTTATCAATATTGTAGGTTGTTTAATGAAAAAACAATATAGAACAAGAATATATAAAACATATAACAACTTATAGTGTAGATCAGACAGTCTGATATTATAGTTGGACAATTGAAAACTTTAATCAGGTGTTGCCGAGTGTTAGATCTTGATTAGAGATTGCTAGATTTTACAAAGTGTAAGATCTAACAGTTAAAAGATGTGATTATAAACAAAATGTACACACTTTCAAGCCTATTGTATTGTAACAAATACAAAATACTTACAGTTTTACCATCGAGGGTATGACCACCATTACTACACTGATCAATAACAGCTTGAACAGCATCAGGATATTTAAATGTCACAAATGCAAAACCTCTACAAAAATAAAGAAAATTATTTTTAAAAATAACTACAAAAACATAAGTGCAAAAACTATGCTATTAGTTAAGTAAAAACAAGTTAAAGCTTATATCAATAAGTTTTGGCTCAATAAAAGGTAGCAGCAGGAAAAATCATAGAGGAAGAGAATTTTTTTAACTAATATTTTACCACATAAAATAAATTCTCAAAATATGTTGGCACTAGTTAAACATTGTGTATACAGTAACTATAGTACTATTGTGAAAAAATATTGTAATTGAAAATATTAGTATGAAAAATTAGACACTTTTTCTCTGGATTATTTAGGCAAAAAAAAATGAATAAAATTAAAAGAATAAAAGCTCTTATAACAACTTATAAATAAAACTTAAATTTTTTAAAAGTTCAATATATATATATATATATATATATATATATATATATATATATATATATATATATATATATATATATATATATCAAGGCTTCCCAGAAAAGACGTGCGGTTTTGTCTTGTCACGCATGAGTGTTTTATTTTAGACAACTTTATAAAAATGCACTTAATAAAAAGTTAAGAATTATGAAAAATGTCACTAATAGTCCCTATAAAGGCGCGTTTAATTTTAAAATCAACTAATAAAAATTTTTATTGGTTGATTTGAAAATTAACCCGCGTTTTCATGTATCATTAGTAATGTTTTTAATAATGCTTAACTTTTTATTTATTACGTTTTTATAAATTTACGTTTATGTTTTTATAAGTTACTTAAGTTTTAAATATTATTTGGATATCCACTATATTTTTCTAGATGCCTTTCTACTTCAATTAAAATTTGGGAGAACTTATCTTATTGGAACAAAGAATGAATTAAAAAAGTTATAAGTACATTGTAAAAGAAACTTTTAGAATGCAGTTAGTCACTAGAGTGTTATTACTTTTGTATTCGTAAGTTTGTTTTATTTTTTATAATTTTTTCGCTAACAAATTAAATTTTGATTCGCCTCTTGAAAACAAAGAACATTTTTTTGTATAAACTAAAATTTTGAAGACCAGATATTTTTCCAGATTTTGCATTCCGTGATCGCTTAATTCAACTCTTGTTGTTATATAAATATATTTTACAAATACATTGCAATTTATATTTTCGCTTTCCTCTTTAAAAAAGTTAAATAAAGGAAAATCATTCTTTTTATTGTAGACTTTTTTTTTCTACTTTGCCTCATCTAATTTTAATTTTTTTCTATTTTAACTTCTTTTTCCTATTTTGTTAATTTTGCTTTTTTTGTTTCTAAAACTTTTCCCATCATGATTAATATAATAAAACTTGCAAATGGCTGTGATCAAGTTGTCTAAAATAAAATACTCTTGCGTGGTCATACAAGATGAAAAACTGCACGCCTTTCGTGGGAAGACTTGATATATATTAAAGATATACCAATGTCAATGAAAACAGCTGCTTAGCCCACTGTGGACAAGTGAATAATAATTAAAAAAAAAAATTAAAAAAATAAGAGCAAGTGAAAAACATTTAAGCAGAATATATTTTAGTTTTACTAATTATATTATTACACATGGCCTTAAATACATCGAAAATTTTACAATAGCTTTTCAAGCACAAAACACATACCAATTCTGCTATCAATGTTACACTGACAGTCAAGAACTAATTCTGATCTCAAAAAGCTTGGCATAAAATTTTAAGGTATTAAAATGTAAATCTCAAATTATCAGAAAAAACAAAAAATTAATCTTCTGGTTTTGGACTGGCAATATATATTATTTTAACAATTAACATTTTTTTAAAAAACCCCAAAAATATAAATAACCTTGGTTCACCAGTTTGTTTATTGCACATTATAACACTATCTGAAATCTCACCAAACTTTCCAAAGTATGCTCTTAGAGACTCTAAAGGCAGATTTAATAAAAACAATTGAATTTATAACATTTATTGAACTTATATAATTTTTACTAATTAGTAAGATCCAGAAATCTTGTCTAAAATAAAAAAATAAAAAAATTTCAGAAAATGTATTCAAATAAAATTGACAGTTCTTCATATACATTAATATATAGAACAATATAAACATGCACAGACAGTTTTCATCTAGGGTGTTTTTCCTTTAAACAATAATAATAAAAAAAACTAATTTTATATTTATTAAATTCATAATTTAACAAATATTAATTCATAATTTAATAAATTTTTATATTTAATAAATTTTTATATTTATTAAATTACGAATTTAACTAATATAAAAAATTTTCAAATATTTTCTTTTGAATGACTATATAACTCCTGCTATTAATTTATCACTGATAAATTTCTCAGCAAAAAATTTGGTGTAAAGTTGGATATGAAATGTTTCTACATTTTTTAATATATTTAAATTATTAAATTATTTGACATTATTTTAAGGGATCAAAAAGGGATTAAAAGACCAATTTTTTTCATATATTAAAAAAAGCTAAGAAAAGTTTATAGATTAACTTTCCAAAATAAATAATTTATCAAGATACAGGATGGCCACATAAAATTTTTATGAGAGAAAGAGGATATTAGAGAATTTTAGAGAAGATTTTCCATTAAAGTTAGAAGATTTTTTACGCAAAACTACAAAACTTTGAATAAAAATAGAGGATTTTTAAAATAGGTTTAACACACATGTTTCCAAATAACTGGTGTTTGGATAGGGGTAAACAATCTTATTTTCAATGTTAGATGACATGGATTTGCTAAAATTAATTTTTTACACCCTAATCCTCATTTCAGACGTTAACCAGTTTAGCAGACGATGAATTTTTAACATTATACTACCATCAAGAAATAAAAAAAATAAAAAAAAAGAAGTTAAAGAGGAGATTTGATCACATTTTTAACTTTTTAGAGGATAATAGATTTAAGAGATTTTTGAAAAAAGAGAACTTTAGAGAAACTGTGGCCACCCTGAGATATTAACAAAAATAAAAAAAAAAAGTTTTAGGTACAAACAGAACTTGTCTTAGCACTTTGAGGTCCCTTTAAATAAATAAAAATTTAGAGAAACATTTTATTCAAAAAATTAAATGTTTTAAAAATGTTTGTTTTGTAAAAAGCGTAATTAAAAACACTGTAGACGATATAACTATTAAAATAGAAAAGTAATTATTAACTTAGCTAGAAAGAAATCTTTTATTTATCTCTTTAGTGACTAAACTTTCTGTAATACTAAAACTGGTATTACAAATAATCTTGTCAAATGCATAACACTATTAACACATACCTTCTGTTGTATTTCGACCAACAGCTCCAACAAAAATTTTACTAAAACAAAAATCAAACATGTTTACTCTAACAAAAATTATAATTTTAAGTATAAGCCTTATTAAAAATCAATTTTTATTTTCAAAACAACACAGTATTTGTAAACAATTATATTTTAACTGTTTTTATCAAGCCCTGATTTAATCCAAAAAGAAACAACTGAAAATAATAGTAAACATAAGGTTTAACACTAAACAAGTTTTACTATTTAAGGTCTAATGTTTTAGAAATAGAAATAATTACTAACTTGTAAAAAATAGAAAAAAAGCAATATAATATAGCTTTAAGAACTTAAAATACTTGGTAGAAAATATACGAAATAACTTTTTAAGAAACGGACAAAGATATATAAGTTATCAAATAAACTCAATTTTTTTTTTTTTGAGTCTAACCAATAATTGAAAGTACAACAGAAACGTAAAACCATAACTTCAAAGGAATACTATTTCCCTCACTAATTTAATACAAAAAGTTATCAAAAATATACAGGATACTGGTTGATGAATATACAATATTCTTAAGTTTTGAAAACAAAAATTATTTGGACTCAAGTGTTAAAAGCTTAATATTATGTCACCATTTAATGTTAAACACTTTTATTGTGATTACACTTAAAAGTTTTTATTGAAATCTAATGAAGTGTTTCACAAGAAGACGTGCGATCACAAACAATTATATGACCACGCAAAAAAAATATTGTCTTGACGATTTGACCACAGCTAAAAAAAAACTTTAAAAAAGAAAAAAAAAATCTTAACAATAGAGAAAATTTCACTAAACTTCACTAAAGCAAAAACACAATATATACACTACTGCTCAAAAGTTTGGAAGCAGTTGGTTTTTTTTTTACAAAAACATATAAAATAATTTCATACCTTTATTCACAATGTAATTAACAATTACACTTTAAATTAAACTTTTACCAACTATAATCAACATCTGTCTGTCAATATCATATATATATATATAACCAACTATCTGTCAATATTATTTATATTTTTGATTCATCAAAATGTCCACCTTTACTTTTAATCACAGCTGGCCAAATTTGGGGCATTCTATTTATTAATTTAGTAAAATATTCACAATCTAATGAGTACCATTCTGTTTGTAGGTATTCCCACATGTGCCTAGCACTACTTGGAGATCTATTTTTAACCCTTCTATCCAACTCGTCCCAAACTAGCTCGATTGGTGACAAATCAGGTTATTGGGATGGCTATATCATAATTTCTATAAGTTTTTCTTGTTTTTTCTTATTTAAATAGGACATACACAATTTTGAAGCATGTTTCTGATCATTATCCTGTTGAAATATGAAATTTGATCCAGTAATTTAATTTCCAGAAGGCAAAGCGTAGTCCTGCAAAATTTGTAATATCCTTCTTTGTTAAGTTTGCCATCTATTGTTACTAATTTTCCTGGCTTATTATTTTCTGAAACATCCCCAAACAATTACATTACCTCCACCATGTTTAATTGATGGCACTGTACACTCTGGCAAAGCCCTTTCATTCTTAGATCGTCAGACAAAAACTCTTCTGTTTGAACCGAAAATTTGAAATTTCGATTCGTCCGTTGAAAGTACATTTTTCCATTTTTCAAGTGTCCAATCTTGATGAGTTTTAGCCCAAGCCAACCTGTTTTTGTTTTGTTAATTTCGGCTTTTTAGTCGCTACACATCCTCGGAGACCGGCAGAGTTCAATCATCTTTTAACTGTTGAAACTGACACTGTACTAGACGAATTTTATTTAATCTCGCTGCAATTTGGAGGGCTGTTAAACGACGATTTCGCTTTGAAGTTAATTTTATAAATCTATCTGCCTTTTAATGTATAATGAACCCCTTTTGCAGAAACACAGTTTTTTTGTAATTTCTCTCTCACTATACCCTTCACCTCTAAGTGTACAAATTGCACTTCGTTTATCAATTGTTAACTGTGATCGTTTTGCCATTATAAAAATAAAAAATTGTCTAAAAACACCACTCGACTATAATTGGTTTAGCACACTGTTATTGAAAAGATAACTTATTGGTCTGCTAGTAACTGACCGAAAGATGTTTAATAACTTTGGTAACATAACTTTACTGATTTTATGTTCAGACAGGTTCAGACGTGTTTGTTTTGTTTATTAGATAATATGACTTCAAAGTGTCTATTATCTTTAAACATAAATAAAAGTAGTTATATAAATCAGATTTGATTAAAAACATACAAAAGTATATTGACTTGTTAGATTGAAGTAATTATATTATAAAAATCGATTTCATCAATATATAAACTAGCAGTAAGCAATCCGTAATACAGGTTGTTAGTAAATAAAATTAAAAAAAATAAACGTGTATAGAAAAGCCTAGAAACTACTTTAAAATAGAAAAGCCTAGAAAATGACGTAAGTCGATTATTAACTACAATTAAATTACCATATTAATATTATAAGAAGACTAGTAAATAATTTAGTTCTTTGTTTCAACATGTTTACTTTTTTTTTCTCAATTATTTGTTTTAAAAGATTAACATTTATCATAAAAAATACACAATTATATAAAAAAAAACAACAAACAACAGTATTATTATTTATTATAAAAATTCATTAAAAATGTTTTGATAATATAAAAGCATTGAAGATCAAACTTAATTAATTGTGAGGGCTTCCTAAAACATGTCTTTTTTTTTTCAACGAAATTTTGTTTATTATTTTTAATGTATTAACTTGAATTATTCTTATATTAAAATTCGTTAAATAGACTTTTGTAGTTGTAGAAAGTCATTGTTTATAAAGACAACATAATTTTTATTTTTTAATAACGTTTATTGTAAAAAATGCATACTTAAACAATTTATATAATATAAATTAAAAAATTATATACAACTGTCAATTATACTTTATAAAAAAATCATTATCAGTAAATTGTTTTAAGCCTCATTATTATGGAAAATAACGGATAGCCAACAACAACATGACCAAAATCACTATTTTGATGTTTGAAAGGCAAAAAAGTTTCATTTAGTAGGATTGAAAAAAAACTTACCTTGAAAAAACAAAAACTTGTTTGAGTTTTTTTAAAAATATCTTCCTTTACAAATAATCATTCTGATTTTAGCTCAATCTTAAAGTACAAGAGATGAATAGTTATATTATCTATTTCCTCTTCTCTCAAATGTCTATATATCTGAACAAGTGCTTTAGATCTGTCATTTTAAATTGGTATTTGATCTTTATTTTGCAAAATTCAGTACAAGGTATTTTGTTTATGAAAAAATTAAGTTAAAAATAGTCTGTTGGTCAAAAGGTTGTTGATTAAATCGTTTATTTATTGTAAACAATCATTTACCAAAAACTTATTTAAATCTGACCTACGCAAAGTATTAAACTTTCATTCATTTTTCACAATTAAAATTGCAAAAAAATATATCGCTCTCTTACATTCTAAGCATTAAAAAGAAGCCATTACTTTTTTTTCTATTTCTTTTCTATATTCATATTATTTTATTTTACTTTACGTTTTATATATCTGTTTAATTTAATTTCCTTTTTTTCAATATTATCTGCTATCAACGTTATGCAATATAATATAGCAATAATATATTCGAAAACATAATTTAAGTTAGACACCTCTAGATATAGAACACAGGAATTATTAACTTCTGGAAATATCAAGAAGTTTGTTTGTTAAAGCACTATTTTTTATCTGGTAATAATATTTCTACACAATTTAAAGTAACACTAAAACAAAATTTGTTTTATTATTTATTAGTTACAGCACTTAAAGGTTGTCTGTTAAAAATATATTTTATGATACCTGGTTCCAGGTATGTTAACAAAATGGTCGATTCCGGCTACCCGGTAAAATTGCTTTTGTCTAACAAAAGATTACACTTAAAGTTTTTTGAGGGTATTTTCTTTAATGATTTTTATACAAATTTCATTAAAGAGACATAAAAAAGTTATGCTGCATAAAAAAGTTATTTATAAAACCGAAATAACAAATATATTTTAAAAACATTCATTATAAAGAATGCATACTTATATACTCTTTATAATATATACATACATACATACATAAATATATATATATATATATATACATAATTATATATATATATATATATATATATATATATATATATATATATATATATATATATATATATATATCAGGCCTTGTTATGAGATTTTGTTGCGTAATAGAATAGTGAATTGCAAATAAAAGTAACTTCATTCAATAAAGATATTTACATCGTTAAAAGTTTAATTACACTAGTTGCGTATTTTAAAATACCTCATTGTAATTAAATTTAAAACCACATTAAAAATTGTTGTAAGTTTTTGAAACGAAAATCAAATTAAACAATATTGTAGTAAAAAAAATTAAAAATAGAATTTAAATGTTGATTAATAAAAAAATTTCCTTTAAAATCTTATACTTATTTAACTTTTTTATTATTTTTTTAAACATTTGTTTTATAGTTATTTTTTTTTTTAAAAAGGGAACACTTGTTTATGGTTAAAGGGATTTACTTACAATGTAATTACAAGTATACAATTAGATTGGGTTTTCCCCCTTAAAAAAATGTTTGGGCTACCTAACACATTTTAGTAACTGGCTTTTGATAAAATAAAAATTGTAATTAAACAAAGATTACCACTTTTCTGCTTTGTTATTTTTATTTCCATTAAAAAATTTTATTTTTATGTACCGTGAAACCTAATGTATTTTTACTATAGTAAAAAAACATTAGGTTTCACGGTGTAAATATAAGATACATAGATTTCAAAATTTTTACTTTTTGGATTTAGTAAGATATATCTTACTAAATCCAAAAAGTAAAATAGCATTTTCGGTTTTAAGATGTTATTAGCTGGACTTGTTTTTAACAAATATCAGTGTAATTTTGAAATCTATGTATCTTATATTTATAGCACTAGTATTACTTTTGTTTTTAAAATAAAATAAATATAAGTTGGGCTTTTAAAGAGTTTTATTCATTGATCACGTTATTTTTAATTGGTTTAAAGTTTGATTCATTTTACAAAAAAATTATTGAAATTTAAAAATTTAACGGGATAGGGAAAACCCAAATATAACATTTATCAATTGAGTTAAAAAGAACGTTTTTAATATTGACATCAAAATTATTAACTACAAAAATGCATTAATTCGACCAGTTTATGGAAAAAAAAACTTACCTTTGAGAAAAAAAAGGGGTTTAAAATTATAAAGTTTTCCCCTAATATCTCAAAAAATAATTGGTTCTGGAACGTTTGATTAGCATGACACTGATTTTTTAAGGATTTTTTATGACATGAACACAATTTATCTTGGCACTTAGGTATCACATAACAGTCAAAAAATAAATAAAAATTTGTCAACCTTTTTTTTAACATTTTGGCTCTAACAAAATCTTCATATACTACTCATAAACTAGTTAACCATTTTAAATCGACATTCAATTTAAAAAATTAGTAATAAAGAAAAAACTTTTGTTTAAAAAAACTAAAATTAAAATAAAGCTATAAATAATACGAACATTTTAAAGAAACTTAAATTAAATATATTATTTTTCAATTTTATTTTATCATAGTTTGGAAACTTTATTAGCAAAAAAAAATTCTAAACTTTTTAAGTTCATTTGTTTAAACAACATTAGTAATTCCAAACTTTAATAAAAGTAGATAAGCACCAAGAAAATATAAAGTGGATATTAAAATATTATTAAAAACTTTAGGAACTTTTACAAATACTTAAACAACTTTGTAAAAACATACTTTATAAAAAGTTTTTATTAGTTGATGTTAAAATTAACACTTGTTTTTATGAACCATTTCTAACATTTTTCATAATACTAAACTTTTAATACAGTACGTTTTTATAAAATTGTTTAAGTTCTTTAACAAGTTTTGAATATTATTTGAATATCCATTCTATTTTTCTAGATGCTTTTCTACTTCAATTAAAATATAGTTTTATTAACACATTCTTATAAGTTTTTTATTAACACATTCTTATAAGTAACATTTTAATAACACATTCTTATAAGTAACAAACTGTCTGGTTGTCCTGCCAGACTACGGACAGACATTTTTAAAAAATTCATGGTTAAAATAACAATTTATAATGATACTTTTTAAATCATGTGACGATGAGAAAAACCGTAACTTTTGGAAGCATAAAATGATTTGAATTATTTAGTTTTAGTACTAAAGGTATATTTTAAATAAATTTCATCGTGTTTAGATCAATATTCATTTGCTAAAAGTTGACAAAAAAAGGAATAAAATTGTGGAATTGCCCATATATATATATATATATATCTTTTTTATTCAGTGGGTTTTAAAAATGTTAATAGCTGAGGTCAAATCATCAAAACAAAATTGTATTTGCATAGTCATAAAATGATGTGTATATGTTCAAATTTGAATACTATCAAATCTATATCTATATTTATATTTATCTACAAATCTATATTTTATTTATCTAATGCAATAGAAAAACCAACATTTTGAAATTTATATTATATAGTATAAATTATCTGCTATTTCATTATCTAAAAAAGTTTCTATAATTTATTTACTATTTTTTAATATAAATTGTTCTGGGAAAATTAAAAAAAAAAAAAAAAAACTTTTTCAATAATTTCTAGCAAGCAAAAAACCAAAACATAAATGTTGATACTTAAGCTACAATGCTTGTCATGCAATACCATAATTTCTTTTTTCATATTTTAATATACATCATACAGTAAGTGCGTATCCAAAGAGTTACAGCACAGACTATGTAATCAAAATCTTCAACCATTTTTTCAAAGCATGCTTAGCGTCATTTCGTTGTGGTATTTTTTAGTATTTTAAATCAACATAGACTTTTTTTAAAAAGTAAAAGAGTTAAACTTCATTTTTGTATAGTTTTTTTTTTGTAGTTACAACCACTTTTATTGAATTGACTTTTCTTAAAAACTTTGTTGTTGATCAGACATCAAATTTATATTGAAGGAATGTTGAGAACATTTTTGAAACTATTGAGAAAAATTTAAAACTTATTTTCTTTGTGCATGCCAAATTTTATTAAAAAAGGTTGCATAAAAGACATCTAACTTTTTATAGCAGAATATGTACTTAAGTTAAAATATAGTAATTAAAGCAAATTATTGCGCTTCTAGACATTTTAAAATTGGTCACAGTTTTATTAATCAATACTTGAATCAAATTTGTAGAATTGTTATTTTGTTATGAAATTTTCATTATTGTAATGCTGAATATAGCTTCTTTTTAATGATATATGATAATGATAAAAATAATTTAAAATTTTTACACAAATACCTACATAAAGTTAAAAGATAACGCAGTGTTACATACATTCGACGGATAATTATGAATTTGGCATAAGTATATTTTTAATTAACAAGTATTTTTTGGTGATAATAGGATAGTTTGCATAATAAAAACTTTTTCTTCATTTTATTTTATGAAAAAATTGATTATATAAAAAACCAAGATATATATAACCACCATTTCTTTTATTTTCGTGTACCTTGAGTTAAATTAATATGTATTTATAATAAAGCGTCGAAGTTTTCATTTCGTATGAAGGTTTTAATATATTGTCAAAATTATTAAAGTATAAATTTAAGCTAACTACCATTGTTCTTCATTGGGATTTCTTTCTCTCGGGGCAAACGGCTTTTTTGGGGTGTATTGAAACTGTTGGCCAGCAAGGACGACACCCGGCTGTTGCTGATAAACTACAGTTGGAATACTACCCATAACAGGGATACTGTTATTCGGAATTGGCGCTATTTGTTGTAAACCAGCCATTTTCAATTAATGTTTTCCAATCTGTATTAAATTAATTTTTACGGCACTAATTCTCCGCCTGTTAACAGAACCGAACTGGATACTGGGTGATTAAAGTCATTGATACTTAAGATGGGTGTAATAAAATAAATAAAACTTGTGCTTTTTTTTTAAATCTTAAGGTAAAAAATTTTCTACTCATTTATTCAATAAATTATAAAAAGAATATTTTTAAAAAATTAAAAAAAATTAATTAACTAAATTTATTTAAAAGTCAACAGCAAAACATTACCAATTGTCCCCCTAGTAGTTTTGTTTTTTTTATAATTAAAACTGTCAACTTAGCCATCAAACTACTAGTAAAATTGGTTGGTAAACATAATTCCTTTTATTTGCGTTTGATTTTTAACTTCGGCAAAACAAGTAAAACAAATGGAATCCTGTTTTTATAAATAAGTTTAAAAAATTTTTACTTGAGCATAAAAGTCCAACACCCACTATATCTTGAATAAATTTAATATAAATCTTTTATGGCTCTGATTTTTTATTTGTCAGAATGATATCTAGCTACCCTATTACATATTTCCCTATAGGAGGTCAGATTCCTATGCAGGTATCAGATGATGCTGGGTAAGAAAAAATTTTTCAAAGTCATCTTTAGCACTTTCATTTTTATTTTTAGATAAAGTTATTATCATTTGACAGTGAATTTTTTTAGCTTTTAAAATTTTAACTTTAAAATTTGTGACTATCAATGAATAAAACGATAAAACAAATGTTTTTTTTTTTATTTATTTTTTAAAATACTAAATATGTAATTACAAAATAGAAAAAGTGATTTATTAAGTATACTAAAAAAAATCATAAAATATTTTATACCTTTATATTTTCTTAGATGTTTTGTATTTTTTTATAAAAATGATTTTAAAAACAAAACAGAAATGCCAATAATAAACTGTTATTATAATGACATTAATTTTTAATATACTTTGAGTTTTATTTATGTTAATCTTTGTCAATTATAATATTTTTATTTAATACCTTTAAAAATTATTTGTAAACAGTGTGTAAACTATTATTATTATAAGAAAGTAAAAGTCAGAGTATAATAAGAAAATAAAGCATTTGTATTGTAAACAATACAAATGCTTATTACATACATATATATATATATATATATATATATATATATATATATATATATATATATATATATATATATATTTTATATACTAATTACTTTAATATATTATTCACTTTTATTTTGGGATTTTTTATTGTTGTAATAATTCTTTTTTTTGCCTTACAACAAGAAAATATATAACATCTGATAATATTAATACGCTAATTTAATAGTATTAGTTAATAGTCGACTTACGTCATTTTCTAGGCTTTTCTATTATAAAGTAGTTTCTAGGCTTTGGTATACACGTTTTTTTTTTTTAATTTTATTTACTAACAACCCATATTACGGGTTGCTTACTGCTAGTTTTTTATAAGCAGTACAAATTTTTATAGCTATTAAATAAATAAATAGCTGGTGTGGAAACCGAAAGACAAGGCTTGTCTAAAGAATTTTTACCGCACAATAAATGAAGTTTGTTATGTATATATTCTTGTAACATTATCGTTACAAACATATGCTTGTAACAAGTATAAAATCAAGTTTTTATATTTAATAAGCAATTTTTATAATGAATAAACAGATAGCTCGTGCAAAAACCAAAAGCTCTTGTAAGAAGCTGTTTAGAGGAGTAGCTTGCATGGCTCACTATTTTTGTTTTAAGAGAGCTTTTCTTTGCTCTTGCACTCATTTACTCCTGCGAAGGCCTATATACATACATATATATATATATATATATATATATATATATATATATATATATATATATATATATATATATATATATATATATACATATACATTTAGTTGACTTTTAAGTTTTTCACTAAAGAATTATGTTTATAAGAGTTTAATAATATTATACAAAATAATATTTTATAATAATTTAAAAAAAGTGCAAACAAAAAGTACAAACAGAAAATAAACAGTAACTGTTTAATTCCCAATAATAATTCTAATTTTTTTAGAAAATCAAAAATTAGAAATGTTTTAAAAATATTTTTTTACTTGAAATAATTAGTAGAAAAAGTTGTTTCGAAAACTAAAAAAGAAAGTATATTATGTAAATGTAACAAACTATTAAACCAATAGCAGGACCTTCATTGGTATAAATATGATGCTGACAAGATTATTGTTTACCTTTTTTTATACTGCATGTTTAAAGCTAACTATTAACAAGACTTCATAATAAGGTATAAATATGTATGTATCTTATTAACCACCAGCTTTTTGCTGCATTTTAAAATTAATTTTAACCAAAGATATGAAACCAGTTATAATTTGGCACTCTTTGCATAAAATATTTGGAATTGTAATATATATACATATATATCATAATATATTATGATATATATATATATATATATATATATATATATATATATATATATATATATATATATATATATATAGCCTGCTGCTGGGGGCTTCAGTACATACATTGACTGACAAATAGCCTGACTCGCAGTGGAATGCTGCTACATCAACTGAGGGTTTGGGATGGGAAAGCAATTGTTTTATTCATCATTCTTCATTTTTTCTTCTTCTTTTTCAAAAAAAACGGTATAGCTCAAGGTAAGCAGAAAAAGTGAGCAAATGCTTATCAAAACATGCTTTAGTAAGTGTATATATATGTATATATATATATATATATATATATATATATATATATATATATATATATATATGTATATATATATATATATATATATATATATCAGGCCTTGCGATAAAGCGTCGGGCGATGTGAATTTTACGTCGTCCAAGAGCGATTTTGCGTGTAGCTAGGGCTATTTGCGTCGAGCAAAAATTTTTTTGTTTGAGTATATTTAAAGATATTTTTGAGCAGAATTTTAATGAAGTAATTTACGATTATTTTAACATTTAATAAAGTATTTTAAAAACCGCACGAAGTTGATATAAAAGTTTGAATTACAAAAAAAATAAATATGCTCATTATTTACAAGTAGAAAAAATTCAGATTAAAAAAAGTTTAAATCTTTTTAAGCTAGCATTTTAATAAAATTAATCAGCAATAGCAAAGTTGTCGATAAAATTGAACTTAAATAATTATTTTACGGGGGTTTGTTAGGTTTTAAAATTGTTCCATAGATTTAAAAATATTTATTAACCATTAGACGAATTTAAAGTATTTAAGAGTAATTTTGAGGAAACATTTAAAAAATTGGTAAGCGCAAATAAAAAAAATAAAAGGATTAATATTAAAACATATTCTACTTGATTCAATAAAAAAGTACAGTTATTAAAATTTTTGTAAAAAGTAACTCGAAAAAAAAAAACTTAAATAATAATTTTTTGTTAAAAGTTACCGAAACTCAACGAAGCGTGCTCAAGAACAGCTGCTGAAAAATAGAACATCAATAGTTTTTCGAATAATTTTTAATAATTTTTAAGAATAATTTTTTCGCTGAAATATTTTTTTTTTTACCTAAAAGATTTTTATTCCAACATTTTATTTTATTTTACCAAAAATAAAATTCCTTGTAAACATTAAAAATCTATTCAAAACGTTCGTTAAAGTTTTTTAATAATACGAGTGATTGTGCTTATCAACCGCTTTATGAAAATAAATAAAAATAAATGAATAAAAAAATATTATATAAAATTGCTAGTAAAAATATTAGCTATTGCATAGTTTTTAATCGTACAATATTAAAATTTCTAAAATGTGTCGTGCAGTTTTTATTCATCACAAGGCCTGATATATATATATATATATATATATATATATATATATATATATATATATATATATATATATATATATATATATATATATATATATATATATATACAGGGCTCGAATTAAGTGATCGCGAATGGCAATATCGAGAAATATCTGTGTCATTAAATTTTTTTTTTTTTTAAAATCGTAAACACTGTTTTAATGAAATGATCACTTTATTGTATTGCAAAAATTAATTAAAATGCAAAACAATAAATTTACTACTGCAAAAATAATAACAGTCAAAATTTACATATTATTAGTTGTTGTTTTTTTAAATAATAATTAATAATATATAACTTAAAGATTATAAATAAAAAAAAGTTGCGAGACAAAAATTATTATTACTAAAGGTCCGAAAAACTTTTGCGGTAATTTAAAAATCAACTAATTAAAAACTATGCTTAAGCTATTTGTGCATTGTATAAAACTTTGTAGAAAAAAACAACCAATAAAAAAGTATGCAAAATCTACTTGTGCATTATATAAAACATTAAAATAGATTTTTATTTAGGAGGAAAGTTTATGGAATTGTTTATTTAAAAATTTAAATGTTTTGAATTAGAATTTAATTATTTAATAAAAAAAAAATTATAAAATATATTTTTTTAAAATATGTTATTAGAGTTTCTTTATTTTTGTTTTAAAGTAACTATTAAAAAAATTAAATTAGTTTTTATATATTAACTCCTCCATCTTTTAGTTTTATATTCGTTTCAGCTAAAGTGTTACAAGGGTTAATTTTATAAGAAAATATTGAATGAGATTTAAGTAACATATAAAAGTATTTTATATCTTAATTAACAATTTCTTTTATTTAAAATATTTGATCACTGTTAAAGTTCCTTAGATTGTTGTGATTAGGCTTATTTTTTTTTATATTTATATCGTACTTTATCGTGCTTTATTTTTCTAGTGTTATCTGATGATTTATAAAATAAATTAAAATATTAAAGTTTAAATTATAATCTTTAATAATAGTAAAAATAATAGTGATAATATGGTTTTACATTAAGATTTTATATCATAATTGACGTAAATATTTTTTATTAAATGATATCTATTAAGTTTAGTGATTTAAAATTTTAGCTTTTTAAAAACCGTAAAACAGTTTTACGGTTTTTAAAAAGCTAAAATTTTAAAGACCAGAAGCATTTCCAGAAATCGCAATTCGCGATCACTTAATTCGAGCCCATATATATATATATATATATATATATATATATATATATATATATATATATATATATATATATATATATATATATATATATATATATAAAATCATATTATACTATTGGTAACAGAATGTTTGAGATTTTTCTTATAGATACCTTATATGATAGCTAAGGATAAATTAATCTGTTATTTTTTTAAATTCAATCAATGCTAAGGTAATTTGTAAAACAAATTATTATTATTATTATCAAACTACAACGATATCGTCGTGAGAAATGGCTATATAAAGTCCATTTATGGTAGTTGTAAATATGCATTTTTTATATAATTGTCATAATTGTTTTTTAAAATGTTTGTTGTTTTTGAGTTTTGACAGTATACTGGCAGTTGATTCCATTGTTTGACTACCTGTTTGTGAAGAAGTTGTACCGGATATCAGACTTGTTTTGTTCTCTGGTTAGAAAGTTTTGTTGTCTTGTGCCATGATTATATTTTTCTTGGGTTAAACTAGAATATAAGTTTAATATTATTTAGTCCATTTTTAATTTTGAATTGTTGTATTTGGTCTCCTCTTAATCATCTTTCTTCCAGTGTAGTCAGACCAAGGCAGCGGATTCTTTCCTCGTATGTTTTAACACTAATTTCTCGGACTAGTTTAGTTGCCCTTCTTTGGACTGATTCAATTGCTTTGATATCTTTTAATTTATTTGGATTCCATACTAAAGCACTGTACTCCAGATGTAGCCTCACCATTGACGTGAAGAGCATATTAAAAGTGGTAGTGTTAATGTATTTGCATGAATTTTTAAGCTGACTCAATATACGATTTTAACGTTGCTATTACAGAATGGATTTGCCAATCCCACTTTAAATCAGCGCTGATGATCACTCCTAGGTCTTTCTCAAACTCTACCTTTAATAATTGATGCCCATTTACCTGATAATTATATTTTTGATTTGATTTCCCAATGTGAATTACTTTACATTTGCTCTCATTTAAAGACATTTGCCATGTTTCACACCATTTTGATATAATGTCAATATCATTTTGTAAACTGATCGAATCGTTTTTATCTTTTATGATTCCAATCATTTTTGTGTCATCTGCAAAAAGTTTTGGATTATTTTTGGTTTGTGATGCTAGGTCATTTATGAAAATTACAAACAGTAATGGCCCTAGAACCGAGCCTTGAGGAACCCCACTTAGCACATGAAGCCAGTCTGAAATGGCGTCTCCTAGTATGACATGCTGTTTTCGATCTTTTAAATAGTTAATTATCTAGTTCAGGATCTTATTTACTATTCCGTATACTATTAATTTTTTGAAACAAAGTCTAGTGGTACTCGATCAAATGCTTTACTGAAGTCTTTAAATATTGTATCAACTGGAATGCTGTTGTCTGTAGCTTTTGTAATTAGATCAAATGATTCAAGCAAGTTTGTTGTACATGATTTTCCTTAAACGAAGCCGTATTGATTCTTTAATATTAAATTATTTGTTGAAATATTCTACTATTTTGTCCTTTATGATGCTCTCCAAATAAATATTTTTTTTATCCTAAGTTACCTTAGTATTGATTTATTTTATACTTATAACTGGTAACATTATTACAGTTTTTAGAGTCAAATACTTTGTATATTAGGATTTAATTTTTGACTTGTTGCAAAAACATGTCAATGTATTGACTGCTTAAAGTAGGTCTCTTGTGACCACATTGGTGAAATGAGATAATTCCTGTTCCCCAATCCTCTAGAAAAAAAAAAAAAATTTCTCAGGGTATTGTTGTTGCTAAAATGTACTTTATCTTCAAGAATAACAAATATAATATAAGTTTTATATAAAATTTTGAAAAGATTTACTATTTTTATAACAAACTTATAATTTTTTGATTGTAGAAAGATTTTTGTTGGAGGGATTCCTGCAGAAACCACCAAAGGTAAGGTATTCAAAACATATTAACTTAAAATTATTATTTCTTTAAAATTATAATTAATATATATTAAAAGTAAATGGTTTTAGTGCCTCAATATAGATCAAAATGCATTACAATAATTTTTTCTTGTGATTTTTATATTTAGAATCATTAACAGAATACTTCCAACAATTTGGTGATGTTTCAGACTCAATTATAATGGTCGACAATATTACTAGTAGGTCGAGGTAATATAAATTTAATTGCCCTATATAAGTGTTTTCAAAATTATATGAATATATACACACACACACACACACACACACACATATATATATATATATATATATATATATATATATATATATATATATATATATACAGCATGAAAAATAATGGTTGGTCAATGACCGCCCAAAATGAATAAAGTTGCTATTTTAACCGCCCAAAATTAATACTTGCCAGTCATGGTTGATTTGTTAAAAAAAAATCAGACTATTGAAAACTAAGGTTTGACAAATAATCAGGATCGAAAATTTCATAATACCATTTAAATTTTGAAAGGCATGTAAAATATTATTGTTGTTAATAGGGATGGCAATCCTGGGATCCTGAAATCCAGGGATTTCGTACAAATCGTTTATCCCAAAATCTCGGGATTAGTCTCCAAAATTTCCCGGGATTTCGGGATTGTCAAAAAGAAGGAAAAATTAATAAAATTTAAGCTTATAATTATAATTTAGTAATTTTTATATCGTCTTTGGTATAGTAGGTGTTTTGTGTAATTATTTATTCTCTTTGCAATGTTTTCCTTTTAAAACTCTTTTTCTGTATTTTACTAAAAAAAAACTCAAAACATTATTGTTTGTCTGCAAAATGTATATATGTTTATATATATATATATATGTTTATATATATATATATATATATATATATATATATATATATATATATATATATATATAATTAAAATTAAAAATGTATAATAAAATAAAATGAATGTATAACTTTTATTAAAAATTCTTGCTCTTTTGACCAGCATGGGGTTATATTTTTGTTATTTTTTATAATATACTAGTTTTGATATCATATTATATATAATATATAGTATAATATTCAGGGCCGTCTCGAAGAGATTTTAAAGGATGGGACTTGTCTGTTTTTTGCCTACTAAAGGGTAGTTTTTTGGCGCTACTGCAGTTCCCCCCCCCCTCTTTTTTATTGCTGATTATGATAGAGAATTTTATGCTGATTTAGAATCGTATAAAACTATAGGTCTGAAAATCAACAGAAAGTGCTCTAATTCGATCTTGAAGTTTAAAAAATTACACTAAAAAAGGCCATTTTTTTTATTCTCGGTTATATTAAAAAATTTTTTAAAGATGATTTTAAAAAAGCCTGGTTTCTATCAACAATTTAATGCAAAACTTTTAAAAAAATGCTCAGCGTGTCATTTTCTGATTTATCCCTTGCCCAAACCCAAACCCTGTCTTTAATAAATGTTTGGAATTAATAATGTTGTTTGAACAAAGAATGAACTTTAAAAGCAATAAGTTCTTTATAAATGTAATAACACTATTATAGTTTTATTACTTTTATAATGCAGTTAGTGACTAAAGTGTTATTACTTTTGTAGTCGTAAGTTTATTATTTTTGTTTTGTTTTTTGTAACTTTCTTGCTAGCAAACTTTTAATAATTTGCTCCTTATAAACAAAGTACACAGCTTTGCATGAACTAAAATTTTAAAGACCTAATATTTTACTAGAGGTTGCAAATCGCGATCGTATAATTTAACTCTTGATATAAACTTGTTAAATTATAATTATACAAATTTATTTTACTAACAGATGACAATACATATTTTCTTTTCCTTTTTAAAATAAAATATGGGAAAGTCATCCTTTTTAGCGCCTAAAACCGTTTTTTTTTTTTTTTTTTGCATTGACAATGAATTTTGTTGCCGATAATAATAACCACTAAGAAAAAAAAACACAATTTATTTAAACTATTATTATTGTTTTCTATTTAAGTTCACTTTAATTTCTTAAGTAGTTATTAAATTTAAAACAATTTTTTAGCAACGCATATAATAAAACTTGCGCAAATGGCCGTGATCATGTTCTCTAACTTGAAAAATGTTTTCGTGGTCGTACGAGTCGAAAAACCTCACGCCTTTCCTGGAAAGGTTTGGGCTAGACACCTCCTACGTCTCCCCTCAGGACAGCGTTGATAATTTTAAAACTAGTATATTATAAAAGTATATAAAATTTTAGCGCTTGCTGGTAAAAAGAGCAACAGTTTTTAATAGAAGATATACATTAATTTAATTTTAAATTTTTTGCTTCCAAAAGTATGCGCGATTTTAGTTCCATTTTTATATCCATTCATTTTAATTTTCAAATGTGTGATTTATGAAAATGCGTGATTTACGAAAGTTTTTTTTAACGTCATGCATATTTATATTGTTTTTTAATTTTTATTTTTATTTATACTGTGTTACCATTTTAAGGTATTGTTTTATAATTTATAATACTTAGGTTTATTAATTTTGAAAATTTTTAAAAATTTTTGAAATTTTTAAAAGTAATAAGTTTTAATACAAAATTAAGTTAAAACACGATTCAACTTAATTTTAGAGGTTCAATTAATGCATCAAATATTTTAGTTATATTATCATTAAATTAATAATTTTTAAGTGTTTGATGAGTGCTTACAAAGTATTCAATTGCGTTTGCGTTTTTTTCTATTCAATCCCCGATTGAATAGAAAAAAATAGTATAAAATAAGTGAATAGATCAAAAATTCCCAGGATTTTTGCCATCCCTAGTTGTTAACGATATGGTTAACAACTAGGGATGGTTTTTATCTTTGTTTTTAAAGTTTTAAATAAATTTAATTTTTTGTTAATAATTTAATTAAAAATTAATATATTATCAATAAGTTTTTCAAATTTTTTGCTCTAACAAACTTTAACCCTTTAGTTTGCTTTGTTGACAATTGTTATATATGACGTAAACTATGCATATTTGTTTATTTTCTTCACTTATTTAGATAAACTTCAATTTACTAGTGATGAAAATCCTTTTTTCATAAACAATTAAATTTCTTATTTTATTATTTTAATAAAACTATTTAATATACTATTATAATATAATAATTGCTGTATTTAACTAAGAACATTTTGTTTTTGTATTTAGTCACTTCTTAAATATCTTTTTATTCATTTTCTCATATATATATTTTTTTAATGGCAATAAATTAATGAGTTATTTGAAGATAAATTTATATTTACTATTTGTGCAATTTCTTTATAGATTTCTTAAAAGTATATATTTAGTAAAATTCTCTTACCTCTTTTACTTCTCTTACTTAAAAGTATTAATTTTTTTTGCTAATATAAGTCCATAAACTTTTTTCTATTTTCATAGCTCCAGGATACCAAAAACTAGGAAGAAGTAATCTTTTTGTGACTGTATATCCGGAGTCCTTTTTGGGACTCTGCATCCCTGAAAACTATGTATATGTGTGTGCGCCTTACTTAGAAAATACACTAAAAGGCTAAAATGGTATAAGAAATCTGAATGTAAAGAGATGTGTATCGTTCATAAACATACAAAAAAACGATTTTTAAATTAAAAAAAAAAAGATAGTTACAAAGCAAATACTTGACCAGCGGTTATTAAAAAAAAAACAATTAAAAAAGTGATCAGTGGTGTGATTCCAATCACAGACACTCCATGTATCAAGTAAATGCTTTAACCATATAAGCTAAATGTGCATACACTTTTGTGTAAATAAATATAATTATATAATTAAAAAAGTTATACATAAAAGTATATGTATGCATTACATAGACATAATATATAAGGACAATAAATACATATTACATTGAAATTAAACAAATACATTTTAGAAACAGATAGCAATTTAAATTTTCACATTTCTCTTTGAAAATGAAAAACAAATAAAATATAGGAACATCATTATTTTTAATGTCGACTTTTTTTTTTTTTTGCTTTGCCATATCTAATTTTGTTGCTGAAAATAAATTTTCTCTAGTTAAATCTATTTTAATTTCTTATTTAGTTAGTTTCGTTTTTAAAACAATTTTTTGTGCAATGCATAATATAATAAAATTTGTAAACTGCTGTGACCAAGTTGTTTAAAATAAAATGCTCATGCGTGGATAATCAAGGCAAAAAATTGCACTGGTTGCCTGGGAAGGCTTGTAGCTGCTACTGTTAAATGGGCAACAACAAAAGCAAGCTTAAAAATCCATTCAAAAACCAAATATTGAAATTTAATAATATTCCTCAAGTTTTGTATAGCATTTTATATTAATTTAAAGACAATTACATTTTATAAAGTTGCAAAGAAACATCAACAGCAAGTCAACAATAAATTTGCTATTCAAATAAATAAAAAAAATAGTGAGTATAAAAGCTTTGATTACATTCTAAATGAAAAGAATGGTAAAATGAGCATTTTATTCAAGTTCTTGATAAGATAATTATGATTAAAAACAACAACAACAAAAAAAATGTTTAATGTAAATAACAAAAATAATTTGAATAAAACAGTAAACATTGTCGTACCCAGGCGTAATCTCATACCGTTTGACTGGTATGGGATTACACCTTGCGCCCAAACTAAAAATTCCATAAGTTGAACCCTTAAAAAAATTTTTTATTTATGCCTTACTTTTTAAAACTATAATTATAGTGTAAACTTTATTAAGGTTGCTTACTTATAATTTTCATATAACTTTGGAATTTTATTTAAGTGAATTTAAGGAATGAGTTTTACATCGTTTAAATTAAATTGTGTATTTTACACTGCATTAAGATCTTTTAAACAATAACTATAACAAAAGTTACTAATGAAATTTAAATTCATTGTTTGAAAAATATTCTTCATTATTTATTTCTTAAAAAAATTTTATGCATAACATCTTTTATTTATTATTCACAAATTAGCTTTTTTTTATTTCCTATTAAATGAACCATATTTATAAACAATTTATGTTCATAAATAAAACTTATGTTGTAGGACCTTAATGAGATTTTGAATAAGAAAGAAAAAGATTTAATTCCATTGATGAGAAAAGTTCTTTTAAACAAAAGCACTTCTAATTTCTCAAAATAATGATGTTTTATGGTTGCTTTTACATATTTAAATGGAGACCTTTGGGTGGAGACTTTTTTTTTGCCTACTTAGATAGTACATAAAAAGAAAGAAAATTATTTC